TGTCAAAAAAGTCACAGTTTGTCTTAAAAATGTTGAAATATAAGGCTATGAATAATACGCAACTAGAAAGACTACAAATCCCAGAGTCGCGTAGGTGAATTTAGCTAGCTGACATTAACGTTACACTCGTGTTACTCACCGACACCTCGTAAAGCCGGTCCCGCATGCTGGAACCGACTAACTCCCCTTTTGTGTATGTACAGCTCTCAACATGGCCAGACTTGTAGAGATTTTCACCTCTTTTAATACTGTTTGCCTCATTCTAAAAGAAAGAGGTGAAATGTGCCAACGTGACGGCCATCTTGGTCTTGGTGACGTGTGCAAGACCAGAGTTGTAGTTCATTGAGCGTTTCACACAAACAAAAGTGTTACTTCACAGTTTTCCAACACATTTAAAAAAATTTGACTTGCAAAATTATCTTTTAAATTGACAAACATCATATGTGTAATTCGTTGCACAATTCAAACGGGATGAAAAGATAATCTTTCTCTCTCCATTGACTTCAATACATGATTTTTCAGAAATAAGGTCCCATGGAGCTCCCCCGGAAGGGGAGGGACTTCGCCTCTCTATTAAATAATCATCTTCACTGATCGTTTTTACAGCTCTTCAGGGAGGTCAGTGTGATGAAGATCCTCAACCATCCAAACATTGGTGAGTCCACACCTCCTCCTCTTCCTCATTCTCTTCCTCGTTCTCTTCCACCTCCTGCTTCATGTCTATATTCTCCTTTTTCTCCTCTTCCTCCTCATTTTCCTCTTCCTCAAACTGCTCTTCCTCATCATACTCCCTTCTCCTCTTTTAGTAGTGCTCAGTTTTAAGTAGCATAAGAGCTCAGTATTTGGCAGCAGATTACTCAGTATTTGGCTGACGGAGGCGTGTGGTGCAGTGGGTTGTGCGGGGTTGGAGGGTACAGGTTCAAACCCCACTGCAGTCAGCATGTCGTTGTGTCCCTGAGACACTTCACCCCAAATTGCTCCTGTGGTGATTGTCCACAGTATTGAGTATGTTAGTCGCTTTGGATAAAAGCGTCTAACAAGTGACATGTAATGTAATTAGTGCTCAGTATTTGGCAGCAGCAATATATTTCTGCTTTTGTTCTTCAGTGAAGCTGTTTGAGGTGATTGAGACGGAGAAGACTCTGTACCTGGTGATGGAGTACGCCAGCGGAGGTAAGACCAGCTCACCTGTCAGTCATATATTAGAATATATAATGTATTTGGTAAGCTCTTATACAACCACATTATTAAATAGTGCTTAACACATAAATCACAACAATGAGAATAGAAAATCACGTTTGAATAACCTGGCAATTATAAGGAGAGAAGGAAAATAAACGTACAAACAGTTCATGATTGAAATGTAGTTGCAGTTTTAGTAATTGAAGGCTTTTTGATAAAGCTTGTTCTTCAAAAGTGATCTGAATAAGACACTGATGTCCGTCTGTCCTTCTTTGTTTCAGGTGAAGTGTTTGACTACCTTGTTGCTCATGGACGAATGAAAGAGAAGGAGGCCAGAGCCAAGTTTCGGCAGGTGAGATCATTTAATATCTACAAGACTATCTGGTCGTCAATATCCCATAATGCACTGGTCACTTGCTTAATAGTGCATTCAGGATGTGCCAATCAAACTTGTCTTGAAGTAGGTTCAAGGTTTGGATAGCTTACTGGTTAAATACATGAGATTTAAAAGGAAACAATTCTGCATTTCCGTCTAAAGTCCACAATAACTTTATTTGTACTTATTATGTTGCCTTTATTAGATAGTGATGGTGGAGAGAAAGAGTGGGAGGGCTTAAAAAAAAATTACATTATGTTTCATTGTTAAATATGCCAACAGCAAGACCTTTAAAGAAATGTGTTTCCTTGCGCATGAAACTATTTGAAGGACCACCTCTGAGCACCCTGTCTCTAATGTAGACTATATAACTGTTATTACAAGATGTTATGCTGCATTAAGTTCCATCTTCCTATTCCTTTTACCCAAAATATTTTTTTCATATTCTGTTATTTATGATTCGTGAGCAAGCTAAACTCTCCTGGTGTTTTTCGGTGATATTTTGCACACTTCCCTGCAGTTTCCTGTCTGTTGCAGCAGGTTTAGTGTTGGGCAGCAATCTTTATATTGCAGTGTCTCATCCGTCATGTTAGAAACCAGACCACAACGGCCCCCCTCAGGACAATTCAGCCTGCCGGTGTAACCGCTAATAAAACACATCGGCTTCATTATGGTCCATTAGCGTAGCGGCTAACAAAGCTGTTAAAACTGCCGAGCCGTGGTCAGCAAACAAAACCTCTCTGCTGTAATGTTATCTTTATGAGCAGCTTCCTATTTCATTCAGTTTATTATTCTTTCTCAGCTGTTCCTCAAGATTTTTGTAATCAATTCTGTTTGTGATGTTTTGACTGATATAATATCTGTAAACTGTATCAGAGCTCAGTTTCTATATGTTATGAGTTAGTTGATCCCGTCTTTAGTCAAACACTTTGGTCCCTGTGAAATATTTGGGACAGCTATCAAATAGATGGCATTCATGGTCCCCAGAGGAGGAATCCTAATAACCTTTTTGTCTCCTCTACATAGTCCTTACCAACGGATTGTATATAAAAGACATTTCAATATTCACATTGATGTCTCCTTTTGGTTTGTGGACAACCATTTGAAAGCCTGGAGTTTGGCTTTTTGGCTTCTGTAATGCAAGCTAACTAACACATGTATGCTCAAGTGAAAGCTCATCCTGACTACAGCCTACTCCGAGATGTCCCAGGACTATAAACCCTAACAGGTTTAGATTAGATTAGATATACTTTATTGATCGCACATTAGAAAATGGTTTTGTTACAGCAGCTTGCTGACAAGGCAAAACATGAGCTTTTATCTGGTGCCCGTTGCAACAAACAAACGGGAAAGACTTTAAAGAAATCAACTAATAGAGAAGTTGTCTGTGTGTCTGTGTTGTTGTTGTTATTATTTTCTAATGATTTTGCATCTTCTTCTATCACTCTGTGTTTGTGTCAGATTGTGTCAGCAGTGGAGTACTGTCACCAGAAGAGGATTGTCCACCGAGACCTCAAGGTACAAACACACACACACACACACACACACACACACACACACACAC